GTACAGTTATATATAACCAACTCGATAAAAAAGTAACATTTTTATCTTATCCCCTCCCTGTCCTAAATAGTAAATAGGTCGTTTGTCTGACTCATTCTAACAAAGTGGTCAGTGTAAGGCTAGTCTAGACTACATGACAAGACAACTAAGCGATAGTGTTTGTGTGTATTGAGTGGTCAGGCGAGAAAATACACACTGCCGTGGTTAGTCAAGCATGTAAACCTACTTTCAACATGCATTTTTTTCTTTGCTTACAAGATCTAGATCTAACTGCTTAGACAAAGATATATTTCTTTTACGAGAATGTAAACTTTACTGTATGGTCTCCCCTTATACAATAAGTCAACAGATTAAATTAATAGGTTAGTGTGACATCACATAGAAACCCGGTAAAAATCTGATCATTTTGGATGTGCAGAAAAAATGTCAGAAAAGCATCAATTACTAAGTTATTATTGCAAATTTTAAAAAAAGAATAATATATTCATTATCTGTAAATCAAAACACATATTATCTCAAAAATTGTCAAAACCATGGGAGTTTCCCTTTAAGTCTGAGATTTAAGGCTTTGGATTATTTATTGTTACTAGCCTTTCCATTTCAATTCAAAATTTAAAAAATTATGGAAGTTATATTTAAGCACACTTATGACTGAGGTGGAAGTTGTCAACATGGTGGATAGGGCTGATAAGAATCCTCTGTTTATTTTGACATGAAACAATCTTAATGATTTATGCACAGAGATTATAGAATTGGCAATAGCTAAATGATATTGATGATCTAAATAAAAAGCAATGCATATATTATGATATTCATGGAAGTAGATTTGAATCTCAAGACTTGTAGCAGGAAGTTTTGCATAGAATTAAATTAATGAACATTTTAATATTAATAGATGTTTTTTTTTTCTTTTTTTTTTTGATAGCTTGAGAAACTGAAGCAGAAAGAAGAACTGGAGAAGAAGATGTTGGAACAGAGAGCTGTGTTTGTGGAGAAAGCCAAGAAAATCAACTTGGAGCCAGAGCCAGAGGACAGACCACGAAAGTCTGGTGGCAAGGTCAGTATCTGGGTCTAGATTAATGTATTTGCTGTAAGCTCTTTCTGAACCAAATCAGCAAGATTTCCATCAGTTGATAATTTTTTTTTAACATTGTTAAAAAATAACTTTTGTTTATGTTCTTTTAAGTAGTAAAGTTTCCCTTTCAGACCTTGTGGTCTATAGGGCAGATGATGTAAAGGTCATCTGTTTTAGTCATGTGGCCGACACAATGACCAACCGCCTTTACTTTTCCCCAACTGCCTTTACTTTTCCCCAACTAATGTCAGGTACCCATCCCAGTCTTCACCAGGATTCGAACCCGGGACTCCCAGTTTGGAAGCCGAGCACTTTACCACACTTTACCGCTCAGCTTCTATTATTTTCATTGCTATTCTAAAAATTTGTAGCTTTTTCATTTCCATTTAAATGGGATAAACATACTAAATATATACTTTATTCTACTTTTGAAGTGTAATAAATGTGTTCCTTATTGTAACTATCCAGAGGTCCAAAAGAGCAGAGGATGGTGAAATCTTGTCTGAAGGAAGTGAAGATGACAGGCCTAGGAAGAAAAAGAAGAAGAGGTCTTCCAGTATGTCTGGGGAAGAGGAGGAGGAAGGTGGAGAGAAGAGGAAAAAGAAGAAGACTAAGAGGAGGTAACTAGCAACATTGGTGTTTGTTTTATGTCTTTGGGGAGTTTAACAAAGTGAAATTCAATTGATGACAAGTGCAGCATCCAGCATTCTTTTAGACACTCTCCTCATCTTCACCTAGTCTGTTGCATCACACACACAAGATCTGCTGACCATCTTTCTCATTCCTCTCTGTAAGCCTTGGATAGAATCTCATTTTAAATGACCAGTCCGTCCATTCTTACTTTACTTTTATTATGTGTTTAATTTCATTCTATTTTTTCCATTGTCACCCAGAGTGCCCCAAACCATACTCTGTTAAAGTAATTCTCCTATTTGTTGTTAAATTTCTATATTACTTGTTAGACATGAAAAATATATTCTGATCAATTAGATCTAGATTTATTTCAAGGTGTTTGATTACCTTGGGACATGAAGGTTAAGTAGAACATTACTTTGGGGGTCAAAGGTCACAAGCTAGACTGTTAGGAGAAAGTTTAGTGGCTACATAGACCTTATGACTTCTTGGGTCTTGAGTTGCAGATCATGCATGTGTAAGAGAATGTTGAGTGAACATGTTGGCTATATAGACCTTATAAGACTTCTTGGACCTTTATTGTAGCAGATCATTGCAATTTGGGGGGGGGGGGGGGGGGGATTTTTTTATACATTGACCCAACTTTATTGGTAATTCTAACCTTTTGGGGAAAGTGAAGGTGATTGGTGGATATGCTGGCCTCATGGCTTATCCATGACCTAAAGATATACTATACTTTACCTACTCCAATTACATTCTAGACAACCTTTCTGGCTTAAGGGCTTAAAGGGAAATAATTATTTTTAATGAGAAATAGCAGGTATATTATAGTTTGTGAACAATAATATATAATTTCTTAATAATGTTCACTTGGTTTCTGATTTTAGATCAAAGAAAGATGATTTTGTCAATGACAGCGATGATGAGAATGATGACAGAGGTGACCGTAAGAGGCGCAAGAAAGGTAGAGGAGAAAAGAAGAAAAAGCAGAAAGACGAGGATGATGGGCTGACAGCCAAACAGAGACGTAAAATTGTCTCCAAAGCTGTCATCTCCTCCAGTGAAGGCTCTGACTCAGACACCAGGAAGAAGAGATTGGAAAGGTGAGCTTGTTCAGCTGTGTATGGAAATAAGGCACTAAACTAGATAAATAGTCATCTGCTATACATACATAAATAGTCAGGCGCCATTGCATCAAAACAGAATTAATTATTCAGAATGGCGTCTAACTACTGACATTATCCTGACTTTAATGATGCCTTCTTTTCATGAGACTGTCAGATTGTATTGACCTTGACATCTCTACTAAAATCAAGAATCAGGGTTAAATGGGGTAAACCAAACAAAAATCTCACAAACAAATCAGCACAGTGCTGATTAATTGCTCTCTCTGAGAAGTTGATTTAAATATTGTTTCTGGATCTAGTCAATTTGAATTCTGCCATATTGTCATCAAAGCGCCCATGTGCTGTTCAAATGATTAGGTCATAGATCCTTTCTAGATCATATGAATTAGGTGTTGAATTTGCGTGAGTATGAGTGACATAACTACCCACAATTTTCTGTTACTAACATAGATCAAATATATTGTTTAAAAATTATAAGACTTAACATATGCTTTTTTTTTATCAAGAAATTTGAAAAACAATTTAACTTGAGAGTTAATAAATTTATATTTTAGAAAACAATCTTTCCTTCAAGAGACTAGGCACCAAATTAATAAAAATCTAAAAAAAAAAAATATTAACCAAAAAGTATTCATTTTAGTCAAGAAAATATATTTCAATAATAAAGCATTATTTTTTTTTAGGCTTGAAATATTTTTTTTTTCTTAATTTAACATTTTAATGCTACAATGTTGATACTAGGTCATATTGCTTATCTAATAACATGTTAAGAAATCTGTAGCTTATCATTATTTTTTTTTTTTTAGCAGTGGAAGTGAACGGGAAGAGGTCGGTGTTCGAAGGCGAAGAATTCTGGGAAGTGATAGTGAAGATGGTGGAGGTAGTAGAAAATCTGGCTCTGAATCAAACAGAAGTCGTTCAAGATCTAGGTCAGGCTCAGAGAGAAAATCCAAGTCAAGATCTCGATCCAAGTCAGGTTCTCGGTCCAAGTCTAGATCTATGTCTAGATCAAGGTCACGTTCCAAATCAAGGTCTAGATCTAAGTCCAGATCACGTTCCAAATCTGCTGGAAGCAACAGATCTAGATCAAGAAGTGGCTCACGGTCTGGGGGAGAAGGAAATAAATCTGGGTCAGAGGCTGGCAGGTCACCTCCTAGGTCTAATGCTGTGTCAGATGCTGAGGGCAGTGACAGGGCAGCAAAGTCAGGTAGTGAACGTGGAGGTGGCAGTGAAGCTGGCTCTGGTGATGAAAGAGATTAGATAATCAATGAAAACTTTTTTTTTGTATTGCTTTAACTGTCGTTTTAACTTTGTCTTTAAGTGTTTTTTTTTGTTCAAAAGTATACAGTTTTAGAGTAAATAAATTTTACCCGTATAAATAATAAACCAGGTGGATTTGAGGTCCCTATTTGTTGTTTGTTCCATATACGACTGGAAATACTAGTATTGGCTAGAAGATTGTACACTGTTTTTGTTGATGATTGTAAATTGACTGACCAAGTTTAATAAACAGTTGATATCTACAAGCCTGGTTGACTTGTTCAAGATTTACTTTATCAGGTGGAGAGGGACTGGAAAGTAGCTAATGTTACACCATATTTTAAAAGAGCAATCTGATCCTTAAACTAGAGCACATAATATGTAGCAACATCATAAACCTTTTAGATAAAAACATGTCCTTACTGCATACCATCATGGCTTTAGCAAATTTAGGTCATCTGAAATTCAACTAATAGGTCTAACTGATGACTTTTTGAAGTGCTTGAAATACATACCATTCTCCAACCTATTTGACAAACTTACAACCATAGCTTTCTAAGAAAACATATTTTGGCATATTGATCTGTTACACCAATGGATTCAGGATTGCCTAATAGAGATAAAATTATTATAAATTGCGCCAAATCAACATTAATAAAAGTAAACTCCCAAACTGTTTTAGGCTCTCTTCTATTTCTAATTTACACAAATGGCCTACTTAACTGTATTAGTTATAATTAACAGTTAAAATCTCTAACATGCACTACTAGGTTGGTACATGGATAAGCATATGGCATAATTATCTTCTTAGAAGAAAAGCCTGTATGTTGAGGTTATACACATAATTCTAGGTAATTCACTATGTCTGATTTAATTAATTATAACAATATCAACCAACAAACCAAGTTGAACATTTTATTTATTTATAAATGAGACCATTGAAACTAAAGTTTTTCATAAACCAGTACAGGGATGGAAAGAAACTTCAAAATATTGTAAGACATTAAATTCAGCAAAAAGTTTTAATGTACATCAGCTTCAGTTTGTGGTGATTAATGACATGAATTCATGATTTAATGTACAAGAATATTGTAAGAAAAAAACAAACAAACCCTGCAGGACTTTGACTTCACAAAGATTAATGAATTAGCTATTAACAAGTAAAAGGTGGTTGTTTTTTTCTAAACCCTGTCATGTGGTGCTTGAAACTCCAGTCAGTGGTGCAGACTAAATGTTTAAGAACACCGGAATTAAAAAGTGAAACTGTCATTTGTTTACTTTTGCTAAATGATCAAAGGCATTTCTACACAATTCAGGTCATGACAGGTTACTTCTTTCTTAGTTTTTTTTTTTTTTTGCAAAATTGAAAATGTACAGGCTAATAAGCTTTTCAGGTGAACAACTTCAAAGCATTCATCATTTATAAAACTTTCTGAGAGACCTCCAGCCTTTTAATGTACTCAGATTATGAGCACCACCATAAACCTAATCAAAATGCACACAAAATAAAAAAAAATGTGGAAATATAAAATTGTGAATGAATGTTCAAACCCGACATGACAACACATTTTTAAAGGGGTTCTACTGATGAACTCATTTGAATAAAAAAATTGTTTGTGATAAAATATTTCACCTAGTAGAACATATCTTTCACATGAATATCAGCTTACATTTATCAGCATAGTGTTTGGAGCTGTTGGTTGAAACATCTATTTCTCATATCAATTAAAACAATAGAATATCACTTAAATACATATAAATTAAAACAATAGATAACTGTTCACTTATGTTATTAAAAAAAAAAAAAAGATGGCACAATGATTGAAATATGACGTGTAATATTTACTAAATGAATATAATGCACATATACAAAGAAGCTTTCAACATAAAAACTAAGGTAAACAGAAACTAAATCACAGAAACTAAAACTTAACATGAGCAGAAAGAAAAACCCTGATTGAATGTACAAATAGATCCTTACTTAGAGAACCGCACAATTTAGCCAAGAATTTCAAGGTAAAATCTTTACAGGTTGTGAAAACTACTGATTACAAAATGCCTGATACTGCACACATGGCTACTGTTTTTTTTTTTAAAATCATTAATTCTTATTTTAAAAAATTATAGCTAAATTTAAAATAATGAAAAATCAGAGAATCTAAAAAAAGAAAAACATCTGACATACCAAAGATGTATGCTTTACAGGTGAGCCTATGTGGCAAGTCCAGATACATTAGATGACTGTGCACATGACCTTCCACAATGAAATGAGTTTTATAGTCAATAAATCATGTCATTTTTGAGCTGCTTGGTGTTTTTTAAGAGCATTTTAATGTTGGTTTCAATGTAAAAAAAAAAAATAAACCAACTTGCTTCAATTCTGACAAAAAATATTTCAAGCATGAAAGTTTGACTGTAAACTTGAAAATTTGATTTCTAAATAAAACCCACCAAAAATGTTCTTAACATAATTTTAAAACATATTTTTTTAGGCCTTCGAAAATATTTTTTGTGTGTTCCTGTTGACAAATCTTAAGTTTATAGTTGAAATAGTTCTCAAATAAGGATAATACATTACCAAAGATGACCACATATAAGAAAAAATGTAAAAAAAAATAAATTATTAAATGATTTAGAAGTATATGTGAGACTATCACCAAAATTGAACCACACTGCATCTCAACTAGTGGGAAAAGCTAAGTCAGAGATTTCCTTTCCAGTCTCCCACATGCTGATATTTCTTTGGTAAAGTCTAAAAAAAACAAAAACAAGTGAAATACAAGTCATTTGTAATGAGGAAAATAAATTTGATAATTAAAAATGTATTCTTACAAAGGAGAATGAAAGGCACATGTCTAAAGAGATGTTCAGAAAATCAGCTTATTATGTCTCACAAAAGTCACACAGACAAGAAAATGTTTTGATACCATCAGAGGAAAAAAAAAAAAATTGGTACTGGCTAAAACCCGCCTATTTAGAGAAAAGCATACATCAAAGACAGCTAAAACAGCTGTTGTACATTTTGTTTCAAGTGCTCGGTCAACTATTCAAAACAATCGACATGTCTAAAAATTTGGTTGTAATAAAAAATGACCAAACCATTGAATATCTTTATTGAATCACATCCTCTAAAATGGATCAAAAACACACAACTTAAAGTGGATGTCCTAACTAGAATTATGTAATTGTTTTTATTGAATCACATCCTCTAAAATAGATCAAAAACGCACAACTTAAAGTGGATGTCCTCACTAGAATTGTGTAATTGTTTTTATTGAATCACATCCTCTAAAATAGATCCAAAACACACAACTTAAAGTGGATGTCCTCACTAGAATTGTGTAATTGTTTTTATTGAATCACATCCTCTAAAATAGATCAAAAACACACAACTTAAAGTGGATGTCCTAACTAGAATTGTGTAATTGTCACAAAATGTTTTATTACATTTTAGATGTAACAAAAGTCATGATTTCCATTTGATTTTTCATACCAAAAAAAATAGTTCAAACCATAAAATGTGACATTTTTTAAGAAATATTGTTTTAAAGATCTAGACTATTTGAAGGGCTTACCTTGTTTACATTAAATATAAATATTTTTACATTTAAGAAAAATAAAAATATAAAATACTCCAACATGCAGACAAGACAATTTTTTAATGCTGCCATCTTTATCTTTGCAAAACCAATGGAAAAGTTAGTCCATTCCTTGCCCTATCTACCATTGGGAAGCCAAGATTATCAGAAGTATTGTGTGTAATCTTTTTAGCATTAGCTCAGACAATGGAAATCATTTAAACGTCTTTATGCATGTTGCCAAAAGGGGATCATGGGTTTCCACTGAAGAGCAATGCAAGGATGACTGTGTACTACCCAATATCCCTAGAGCTTCATTTAAAAAAAAAAAAAAGGTTTCTTTAACATCATACAACCATGGATGTTTAAAAAAAAACAAAACATCTCATCTAGTATTTGTAAAAGGGTTAAGGCAGGTGAATCATTGTTTTAGCATTATAAAACTTTCCTAATGGCCACACCAGCTGAATACCAGCCTCATTCTGGTAAGGAGCCCTGATAACAGTGGATACTTGTCATGAAAATGCACCGACTGTTCTCATGGCAGAGAGATAGATGCACAACATTCTTATTTCAACATCTACTTTCTTCATGCAACTTTCCACAAATGACTTTATTATATGAGAAAAAAAACAACAACTCAAATGTGACATACTATGAAAATGATCCAGACAAAAGTGATATTTTCACTAATGATTACTTCATTTTCAATCTCCAGCTTCACCATCTTCAGCAAATTATCTTAGGGATAAACAGAAATAAAAGTTACTAATTATACAAAAATATACAACTTTTGAAAAAAAAATGCATAAAAGGTTAATAGATTATGTTTTTTCTTGCTTGCATCAATAAAAACCTGGCACATTCCAAATTTTGCAGAGAAAAACAAACAAGAAACAATTTATTTTGACACTTGACAAAAAATGTTTGTTTCACATTTAAAGAGAAGAAGAAAAATTAATTTTGACAACCATTAAGGGAGAAAACTATTGAGTTCACTGTCTTTCATCTTCACAAAATACACAGCACAAAAATCTGAGTCAAGTCAATGTCTAAGTAAATACACAGCACTAAGAAATCTGAATCAAGTCATTGTCTAAGTAAATACACAGAATTAGCATTTGAATCATGTCAATGTCTAAGAAATATACACAAATGAACTAATATTTGACTATTGTCCATGTTGAAGAAGTGTATACAGCAGAACTAATAAATGACTTGTGTCAATGTCTAAAAGAAATGTCCTGACCATCCAATAAATACTGTTTCTCTTTCACAGTGCAATTCATAGTCTGAACAAAGAATAGACTTCACTTTAAGACCTTCTTAACAATGAGTGTCTATGGATGACAATGCAAACAGAACACTTTTGATTAATTTCAATGAAATCCTCAGTAGAACTTGCTCTTGGCTGTCTGGCAATACAAAAGTGTTAGAGAAGAAACTACATACAGTAACTGTTCAATGCCAACAGTTTCAACAAAAGGCTGTTTGCTGATGAGAGAATGGTCCATGGCCATTGGCAGTGTGAAACTTGTGGTTGCTTCCTGCACTGGAGTTACTCTCTTTACTGCCCTCACTGGTTGGGCTGGTGGTACTAGCAGACCTGATGCTTTCTTCAGTGTTGCCAGCCAGCCAACTGGCTATCTTGCTTTCTTGGACAAGTGAGGCCAAGTTTGACAAACCATTGTGTATCCCTCCATTCCTTGGATAGCTGGGTAGGTTACCTTTGTATTTAGAGTCCTCCATGTTGACCTGCCTTCCCTGCCACAAATTAGGTGCATACTGGGAGGAGGTGGAAGGGGAGGTGGAAGGGAAGGTGTAAGAAGGGGATAGAGGGTCTTTAACAGACACAGCTGGGGGAGACATCAAGGTGTATTCTTCTGTGTCTGTACTGTTTCCCAACTTCAATGGAGTAGGCAGAGCCAGGGAGCCAGACTTGCTCTTCTGGCTTCCTGAGGATTCTGGCAACAACTTCAGCATTTCTGAGGAGGATATGGCATCTTTAGGGGACAGCATAAACTGGCTGTCTCTCTCAACCACTTCACCACTATCAAAGGCCTCAGATTCATAATCAGTGTCTGAATCACTCAAATCAGCATGGAGACTTGGCTTGGAATAAGACTGACTTTGTCCTCTGGACTCTGGTTGGTGGTGGGACGATGTGGAAGGAGTGCTGGGTGAAGGGGATATTTTGGCTGGACTTGAGTCTATCTCTACATTGTCTTCTTCTTCACTGGACACAGTCCTGACAAAAAAACAAAAAACAATATCTAGTCAATTATTAAAAGAACATATATCAAGCTTCAGAAATATTTTAATAACACAAATTATAACTTTTTAAAATCTGACAATAAAATGTAAAATTGAGATTATTCCACAACATTTTACATATTTACATTTAAACATTTACAACTTATATACTCCATTCTCTTAACATAGCTATCAATTGTTATGCTTTCAAATGCTCATTGTATAAAATCGAGCTTAAAGGAGGAAGGCGAAACAGACAAGCCACCAGTAAGTGCTATAAAGATCAACTAAGGGACGTAGCTGGCAGATGATGGCCTCTCTAAGAGACAGTTTGAGAGCTCTCACAAAGACAGCTGGACACACAACTGAGGCCCAGAGGAAAGCTTTTGTTAAAGACATGCATAGAAGATGTAAAGAAAACTTAAATAGGAAGTAAACACATTGCCATTAAATTAATAGTTAATAAAATAAACTGAACAAAATCGATGTAATTTAAGTTTAAAAAAAAAATCTTTCTTTATATCCA